AGCTTATACTTATATACTTTGTTGTAAAATGTTAGAAAAATTTGGGATGGAAATCTCAGTCTTGTGTCATCATGCATTATTCTGCTGTCAGGTGTACCTGCAGTGCTGTCATCCTCCACCTTGCTAACAAAGATTCCAAGGCCGTGTTCAGAGCCTCCCCGCACACTGAAGCCCAGCCTGCCATCCTCACTTTTGTCCACAGTAATTGTGTGAATGTCTTCACAGTCATCCCCACCTACAGTGTATGACATCAAACACAAATAGAATGAACCTCTGGGAACAAATTCTTAATTTAAAGCACAAGTTCTTTCATTACAAATTCTTAATTCAAAGCACAAGTTTTTACTCCTTAGCAAAAAGGTTTTTATAATATAATATAAAGTCTAGAACTACAATAATCATCATGTTTTCACAGCGCACACAACGCCCTTTGCCTCTTACTCACGAATTCTCTCAACATGGGGACAGAAGAGTCAGTCAATAAATGGGAAAAGTAACTTTTATTGTAAATTTAAAAGTAATGTGTCACTTGGCTAGAAAAGTAATCTGATTACATAAGTAATAGTGTTACTTGTTATCCCAAGCACTGTGCCCGATAACCAATAAATGGCAGATACTAAAAATTGTATACTAGGCTATATAGCTTTTTCTTTTTTTATTTAATCTAAAAAATAAATAATAAATAAAACACTAAAAACTGAAATAAGCCACTTTTAAATATCCAATATTGACTGATACCAATTACCGGTAATAAAAAAAAAACTAATATTAGCAGATAACCGATATGATACTAGTATGTAACTTGTTAATCCTTAAATGGAATAAATAAACCAGTTCTCATGAGAAAGTTGACGATTTCATATGAATTTGTATGATTCGATTTGTACAAAAACATGATTTTTAGATCAAAACTAAGCCTTCATTGCGAACAAAATCATATGAATGACAGATTTGTGAATTGCCAGTGTGTTGGTTAGCTCCATCTACATCATATGAAGGTGCAAATGTTTGTTGGAGACTCACCATCGACAGGCGCATTGATGATGATGACCCTGCCCATAGGGGAGGAAGACCTCACTCCTCTCTGGCGCTGCTGCTTCTTGTGCAGGTAGCGTGGCAGAGTAGAGGTGCCCGAGGGCCCTGGCTGGGCACTGGGATGAGCCCCATTCGTCATGTCTTTGCGTGCCGTGTCAGACGAATGAGCCATGGCAAAGTGCCGACCTCCCCTCTGACCCTCATCCAGGGTCTGAGCTCCTAAAAGGAACACGGGTGGGTCGGGAAAACTAGAGGTCCGGTGGGTCAATGCCAGTCAGGAGAATTACAGTCCGCAGGATTAGTTCCACAAAAGGAAACTCTGCTGCAATCATGCAGGAAGAAACTGCGATGGATCCAGCATTGTTCACTTTAGATTACAAGCCATATTGTGATGACTGATTTGATCCTGAAGGACTCCAACATAATTATAATCATTTTATAAAGCAGCTGATAAACAAATGATATTATCCAAGCAGTGGCAACGCAAAGTGTATCCGTATGTGCATTGTTCGGAAGAGAGCTTCACAAAAACAGAGGATGTATAATGGTGGCTCAGGTCTTTTTGTTGAGTTGAAAGTCTGCTGGTTAGACTGGGGCATCGGGCTGGAGTCCCCCCTCACGGCCAGTGGAGCTTTGCTTGGCAGGAGTCAGTCATCTGGTCCTCCCAGACCTCAGTGTCTCACCTTTACCTGCCAGTGATCCAAGACGACAGAGAAAGATCTGTGAGAACCCAGCCGCGCAATGAGTAATTTCCCATGGGAGGTAAAGTGATATCAGCAATTATTGCATTCTGGAAAGCTAAGGGTTGCACTGTTTCCACAGCAAGAGATACTGAGCTTATGTGGGACACTAATATGTTAGGACCTGTTTTTTGTTTTGTTTTTAGCCCAAGAATGCATAAAGGGTGTTGCATCAGCAATTTTATATTATATACAGTATACAGTATATACACTTAATTGATTCATCATGAAAATTAAATTAAATTTGGCTAATTATTATTATTATATTATTATTTAATGTTTTCTTCATATTTTGTTTTGGAAAATAAAAGACACTTCTGTTACTAAATGTGTTTACATCACATAAGTTTCTATCATACATTATTCCAGTCAAAAGTTTAGACACACACACCTGACTGAATTAATGCTTTGCATCATGATTAAAAAAAAAACTTGCAATTGAAAGTTTTTTGTACTGTGCCTGTACTAAACAGTGAAATAAAAGCAGCCAACAAGGATATATGAGTACTTTGATAAGCATCCCAAGTAACACCTCATAAAGTTGATTGAAAGAATGTGAAAGAGTGTGAAAAAAAAAGATTCTTATTATCAAGACAATGGTTGGTTGAGTTTAGAAATTCTAAATATTTTTTAGGATTATAAAAAGTGTAAAAACACCAATAATAAAGAGTCAGTGGGTGTGTCCAGGGGACCAGTATGAAATATCTTCCCTCAGAACAGAAGAAAGCAGTGTAGAATCTCCCCAAAATGACAGTGCAGACTTTTTGAGTGAGATCTGCTGCTTCTCTCTGGGGGAACGAAAAGTGTATCAAATTCCTAAATTAATCCATTACCCTTGAAGTAACGATAAAAAGAGGATTGATTCCCCCCCTAAGCGTTTGGGTCTTGCATTCCATGTTTAAGATAAGAACCTGATGTTGTCATGTTGTTACTCTTAACAGGAGTGACTGTGCCATCATCAGCACCTAGGACAGCGACAACCAACAGGTTGCGTAAAGCGTGAACAATAGAAGACAACATTCACAGAGATAAAGTGTTGACTTGCTCTTCGAGAGTCAATAGCCTAGTTTAAATGATTCTGGGTGAGAATATCTCACAAATGTACAAAGATCATTCTGTGAAATCCTTAAGCAACAGATGCAGTCAACAGGTTAGCAGGAAATTATTTGCATTACCAGTAAGATTCATTCGGAATAAAACTGATTTACTTTATTTACTTAGTCTGTTGATAATGTTATGCCTTAATGCAACAAAAACAAAGTTCGATGAAGTAAAACGGCGTTACCTGTCTCCATGTTGTGCCGCATGACCTCACCTGAGACAAAGACAATATTAGCCTCCTTTAAGCCCGCCTCTCAGGGCAGGTGATTGGATTATGGAGCAGCTCAGAAGGACACTGCACAAACTCATTTGGACCAGTGGTTGACAATCGTCACTCATAGCATTAGAGTATTATATGAACAGTGGTCTTGTGGAACTAGATCCAATTAAGTATCACGTTGGTCTGCAGTTTAGCGCGCGTTGCCATCGGTCATAAACTGAAGCACATTTCAACAAGTTGTATGCTTCTCTTCTTTTTGGGATTAAATTATCTATCTTGATTAAATGTTTGCAATTATGAGTGTTTGATCTACTACCAGAGAGCTGTTTTTTGATCAAATTGTGAATGTGGATTCTTTCTTAAGGATAAACTGTAATTGATCCCCTTCATAGCATCAAGGATATTTGAGCATCTTTCATGACACTACTGCCATATAGTGGTCATTTAACAACATTGCTTTAAAGGGATAGTTCACCCAAAAATGAAGATTACTCACCCTCATGTCGTTCCAAACACGTAAGACTTTCGTTCATCGGAACACAAGTGGAGATTTTTTTTTTTTTTTTTGATGAAATCTGAGAGCTTTCTGTCTCTCCATTGACAGCTACACAACTACCACATTGACGATTCAAAAAGTTCATAAAGAGAACGTAAAACTAATTCATATTAATTGAGTGGTTTAGTCCAAATTTTCTGAAGAGACATGATCATTTTATATGATCAACAGATTGATTTTAGGCTTTTATTCACATATAAACATGCATCAACTCACACATCAGTTGAGGTTAAGGGAAGTTCAAGCATGTTCGCTTGATGTGCAAGAACCAATGAGGTTCATTATACTGTGTTACGCAGCAGTTTGAGCTTCAGCAAGAACCAATGACTCTGAGGTTTGTTCTCGCACGTCAAGCAAGTTCGGTTGACCTTCTCTTTATGTTTGCTGATCAATGTTTATATGTGAATAAAGCCTATATTAAATCTGTTCATCATATAAAGTGATCGAGTCTCTTCAGAAAATGTGTTCTAAACCGCTCATTCATATGGCTTAGTTTTACGATCTCTTTAACTTTTTGAAGCGTCAAAGTGTTAGTTGTGCAGCTGTCAACGAAGTCAACAAAGGGACAGAAAGCTTTTAGATTTCATCAAAAAGATCTTCATTTGTGTTCCGAAGATGAACGAAAGTCGGAACGTCATGAGGGTGAGTAAATAATGACAGAATTGTATTTTTTGGGTGAACTGTCCCTTTAATTCGTAGGTCTAAATTTGGTTTGAAAGTTTCTTTTACTGTCTATGGTATGAAGGTATAAAGTAACATCTACAGATTTTATTGCAGAGGAAACTGAATTCGCCATTTATTTTCGAGTATGTATCCATCGTATATGTAAACTAAAGTCAAGATTTTTGCTTTTTTCTGCATCTTTTCACCAAATATACCCACAGGTCTTTAATCAAAATGCAAACAAGGACAACATTAGGATAAATTAGGATATATCACGTGTGGTCAAAGGAATGAAGCCGTCTTTTCACTTGGTAAATCTGGCGGAAGTTTGCAAAACGGCTAAAGTAACACTTTTTTCACAAAGCTAAAAATCCCCATTTAGAGCAACTTTGTGCAGGTTAGCGCTCCCAATGAATGGCCTATCTCAGGAAATCACGAAGCAGATAACCAATCATTACGCAGCTCCTATCCACGCCCCGTTTTAGAACCATCTGCCAATCATAACGCAGCTCCTATCCACGCCCCGTTTTAGAACCATCTGCCAATCATAACGCTGTTCTCATCCACGCCCAAGTATCTCGAGCCAACTGCAGATCTCTCTGCCCCAAACACCGCCTTTTCACACAAAAAAACGCACGTTCATCATTTCAACCTTCTCGCGCAGATTTTCAAGGCAGCTATTCAAGCAGACCGGAAGTGGGGGCAGTATACTGTCATCATCACGCAGAGGAAAGCAGTCAGCTCTGAGGTCATCTGCTTCAAGGTGTACCTGAACGTTACCTGTGGTCTTTTAGCAAGGTCTGTGTCACATATTTTACTGAATAACCCTTTGAACAAAAATGCACGTTTGTCTGTGTCGATATGGTTGTTGTGTCCATGTAAGTGTGAGATTATGTTGTAGCTAGCTAACGTTATCTTAGCAGGTTGAAGGGGATATGGGTGCTTATAATTACAGTGCTTATTTTTTAAGCGCAAAAAGCACATACTGAACAGCGGGACAATTCACAGCTTCAATCAAAATAAACGAGTCTCAAGTCATAGGAAATGTCTTTATTTTACATGTCCTTGTTAGTAATGTAAAACTATGCTATTCCACCAGCATAGCAGCTAGCATTAGCTACAAAAGCTGTAATTGTGCGGTTATTGTCGCTTGCTTTTCCATGGTAGATAAACGGTAACATTTTCTATAGTTGTTAAGCAGTTTAGTTAACGTTATATATTTCTCAAATTAAAATATTTGTAAGTTCAACAGCCGGGCTAGTCCTTGCTCTTTTGACGTGTATTGCTAATCTCACATGGTAATTTGTCAGACATTAACGTTATTGTTTATGGGCGTGCACGACGGTAAACGTGTTGGTAAACATCAATAAAATTGTCTATTAGTAAACAGGGTTCAGTCATATTTTTTTCAGTCATTAAATGTCTTAGTTCTACTTTCACCTTGCTTTCATTTTTCACACTAATTTACTTTAAAAAAAATCTTAAGTGTGAAAATGACCATGTTCACACAAATCAGGCTTGACAGCTTCTAACGCATATTTTGTTTCTCAGTTAATTAAGTGAGTGAGTTTCTCAGTAGATTATCTGTGATCTTCACAGAAGGCGAATAGGATGTCTGGAGATTTGCCACTGAATATCAACATTAAAGAACCACGATGGGACCAGGGCACATTTATGGGCCGGGCTCAGCACTTCTTCATGGTGACGGACCCCAGAAACGTGCTGCTGTCCAGTGAGGTTTTGGAGGATGCCAGAGTTACTGTGGAGGACTACAGGTCTGTAATCCCAAAGGGCTGAATTGTTTCTAGTCAATGAACTTTTGGGGTGAAATCCTGTCCTTTATGATAATGTAGAAACTGTAGCCGTACCAATCATTGTAAATGTTGTATATATATATATATATATATATATATATATATATATATAATAAATGTTAATTTCCTTTTCTAAACGGAACCTTAAAACATTTCAGGATGGATTTGTTGATTGAAACTAAGTGCTTATCCTACCTCAAATCTTTGCAACCAGGGTTGCTACATCTGCGGTTTTACCATGGAATTGGGCTACTTTTAAATTGTTGCTGTGTGTTGATTTTTTTTTTTTATTGCTGAGGTTTTGTTTTTGATTGTATTTGACAGAAATCCTTGTATTGTAATATTTTACTCATTTTATATTCTACCAATGATAAAACTGCTAGATAATGATGATGGGAGGGGAACAGCATTTGAGCTCCTGTGAGGTGAGCTCCTTTTCTTTTCTTTTTTATACCTCCATGATTTTTATGATTACTACTATATAGTGATTTTAAAATGACACTGACTGTAAACTGTGATTTTTAAATACTTTTATTCAGCAAGAACACATTAAATTGATCAAAAGTGACAGTAAAAACATTAATGAAATGTAACACGATTTCTATTTCAAGTAGCCTAAATGCTGGGTTTTTTATTTTCATTTTGTATTCATCAAAGAATCCTGAAATATAGTATCACTGTTTCCACAAAAATATGAAGCAGCACAACTATTTTCAACATTAATAAGAAATGTTTCTTAAGCTGCAAATCAGCATATTAGAATGTTTTATGAAGGATCATGTGACACTGAAGACTGGAGTGATGCTGAAAATTCAGCTTTGTCATCACAAGAATAAACGAAATTTGAAAATATATTTAAATAAAAAGTTATTTTAAATTCTAATAATATTTTACAATATATGATTATTTTTACTGTATTTTTGACCAAATAAATGCAGCCTTGGTGAGCATAAGAGATTTCTTTCAAAAACATTTAAAAAAAAAAAATACTGACCAAAAACTTTTTTTTTTACTAGCCTCTGTGGCCCTGTGAAGTCTTATTATTGGCTGTTTTCAAACACTCCCCACTCTCCCATTGGTCAGACCCACCCCAAATGCCATTGGCCATTGTTGCTGGTTGATATGCTCAAACAAAAATAGCAATGTTTTGAAAACACCACAGAGCTTTTCGTAGGAATCAACCTATGATTGGCTTACTTGTATATGTCTCTGCATATTAAGCAGGGATTTAAAAATCCCCAAAATAACACACTTTACCTTAAATATTGTTTCAGCTCTCTATGCTGTTATCAGTTTATCATTGGATGTTACTGTACATGTCTTGAATAAAATATCTTTCTGCTGTTCCCTCTTTCACAGGTTGGGAGTTGTGAAGCCTGGGCTAACAGAAGATCAACTATGGAGGGCCAAATACATCTACGACTCTGCTTTCCACCCAGACACAGGAGAGAAAATGCTGCTAGTTGGACGCATGTCTGCACAAGTACCCATGAACATGACCATTACGGGTTGCATGCTCACCTTTTACAGGTAAGAAGAGCACTCCCTCTTGATCATTCATCGTTCTGAACACCATATGGACAGGAAGTGTATTTAGACTTGAAAATGTTATACATTTGAGCTATAAAAGGAAAGGGAGTAAATCTTTCCATGGCTGGGATAAACATCCCCGCTCATTTCAGGGAATATTTCCTAAATGAGTCATCATGGAAAAGACAGCAGTCCTACTGAATGGCTAAGTTTGGTGGTTTGATTCAGGGTTAGAAGGTTGACTGTGTTTTATGGTAGTATTGTGTGCTCTTAAAACGTAGAGAGTAAAAGAATACTTTGAATAAGATTGAAAAAAAGTTTTGTAGCCACATAATTACTTGGATCAGTGAGTCATCTGCTAATGAGTCATTTTGAGTAAGATCAACATGTGACTCAAATTACAGGCTTGTGTGGGAGATTCTTATGACTGCAGCATTGTTCAAGAAGTCTCATAATAAATGTCTTTTATTTATATAAATAAATACACATTACATTTTTCATTAAATTCAAGTTTCTCTCTGTTTTTAGGACAACCCCAGCAGTGGTGTTTTGGCAGTGGGTTAACCAGTCCTTCAACGCCATTGTCAACTACACTAACCGCAGTGGAGACGCGCCACTCACCATGAAGTATGAAGGCTAAGATCACTACTAGAAACAGTCTAGCTGCAGGTTTCTATAGGAGGCCTCATGGCAACCCACCTTTTGATGGTGTGATGTGTTTCGCCCACACCTTATTGGTATATTGCACCATTAAAGCCGGGCGTACACGCTACGATTTTTGATGTCGTAAAAGCTTTTCTTTTCTTTTTTTCTCGGGAGAAATCGTGTAGAAATCGTTGATGCTCGTATGGTCGCGGCTTGCATTGTGTGAGAGAAATTACTAGCCAAATCGAGTAAGTTACAAAGCACCTCCCGATAATTTTTAAACATGTTTGAAAAATTCGGGGAGTCGACGCTATTTTGACCAGTGCACATAGGATATCCCCTATTGCCAAATCAACCATGTCACATAGGCTAGATCTATGAATATTATTTATTATAGTCCATGTGGCTGCAACTACAGCTTGCACATACACTGACACACACACACACACACACACAAATACACTCTCTAGTTGTTTTGTTAAAAGGAATGGTTGTGCTGTTCTCTGCTTTTTACCAAATCATTGCACACTCGTCTTTTTATTTTCTTTCTTTTTTCTATCCGAAGCCATAGCAGCAATTTTGAAAGCTCCAGTCTCTGTGTTTAGCGCGAAAGCTCATGCGATTGCGGCCAGCTCGCCGTGCAGTACAGTCATGCTGTGTACCAGCTGCTTTTACATGATTATCAGGCTAACTGACTCGCAACGTGTGCAATGGCACACAACCTCCCGAGCAGGGCTCTAGAGTGCGACCAATTTGGTCGCACATGCGACCAAAATTTGTAAGGGTGCGACTAAATTTTTTCCTAGGTCGCACCAGTGCACCTAATAAAGTTCTCGCATGATCGCATCCGTTGCCTCTCCACAAACGAGTCTTTTGTTCTCCTTGCACGCATGGTTGGATCATATCGTGGTCTAAACCAATCAGAGATAGAGATTGGGAGGGTCTTTGCCTCTGATTGGCTGTGGTTATGCTCCGTGCTGAAAATGTTTTAAAATGCTCTGTGCTGTGTGATTGAAATAAATTGCGACATGAACACCAGAAAATCAGTTACGGCAATCAGCAGCATCAGCTAAATAAACGCAAGAAAACAGACGACGAAGAAACTTTTAAAAATGTAGGCTACTTGAACTAGGGCTAGGTGAAAAATATTGATTTCTCGATTTTAATCGATTCTAATTTTTACGAACCGGTTGGGCTATGCTGTTTTCAGTTGATGAATGAATGGAACATTGTAGCGAGCATCCCATCCAATAAATCGCAATAATCTTTGCGCTTTGTTACTATTGATATGAAACAAAGTCTCAGATTTCAAATTAGGTCCATTTTCTTATGAAATTCAAAAACATAAATAGTGTGTTGAGTCGACGCTGTGGCGTGAGATCGCTCTGGCTCAGCTCAGCTCAAGAGAAGCAGCAGTGCTGCGCGCACATGATCTTCTCTTCCGCCTTAATAATACCAGTTACAGCGTGAAATAAACATGAAAGAGCATCTGAAAGTGTGCTAAAAGATAGAGTACAACTTATCGAAATCCGTATCTTTCACATGGAATCGCTCAATCAGTGTTTCAACCGTGGAAAGACATCAGTAAAACGCTTGTAAACAATGTAATGTAACGTCACATTTAACTTACCTCAGAAAAAACATATCCAGTGCCCATAAACTCGTTAGCTAGCTAGAAAAATTAACTCTAGAGAGGAGCATTTTGCCAAATATATGCACCATATTGCATATTCATTATAATTTTTAATGTTTTTCAATATTTAATGCATGTTGTTTGAAAAAATCTGGCAAGTTTTTATGCAGCCACCATTTAAATGTTTATATTTCATATAACTTTATTATTATAAAAATAAATAAAAGTGTAATTTAGGTGTTTGTGTACAAATCAGGTAATTTTTACCTTCAAAATTATAGTAGGCTAATGAAGCATAGTGGGCTACAACTGACTCCCAATTTACAGCATTAGTTAAGAGATTTGTTTTCCTTGAGAAAATTTGCCATGTATTGTACCTGATATCCAAAATAATCAATATTGAATCGAATTGTGAAATTTGTGTCAATACCCTGCCATAACTTGAACAATGTAAAAACAGCACTTTAAATGTTTTTTTTTTTTTTAAGATTTATATTTTTATATACAGTATAATTGTGCTAAAAAAAAAAAAAAAAAACTACACCTTATTATTCTTATTCTTGTTTAAAAGCATTTACATAATATACATGAATGTACACTCACCGGCCACTTTATTAGGTACCCCATGCTAGTAACGGGTTGGACCCCCTTTTGCCTTCAGAACTGCCTCAATTCTTCGTGGCATAGATTCAACAAGGTGCTGGAAGCATTCCTCAGGGAGTTTGGTCCATATTGACATGATGGCATCACACAGTTGCCGCAGATTTGTCGGCTGCACATCCATGATGCGAATCTCCCGTTCCACCACATCCCAAAGATGCTCTATTGGGTTGAGATCTGGTGACTGTGGAGGCCATTTTAGTACAGTGAACTCATTGTCATGTTCAAGAAACCAATTTGAAATGATTAGAGCTTTGTGACATGGTGGAAGTAGCCATCAGAGGATGGGTACATGGTGGCCATAAAGGGATGGACATGGTCAGAAACAATGCTCAGGTAGGCCGTGGCATTTAAACGATGCCCAATTGGCACTAAGGGGCCTAAAGTGTGCCAGGAAAACATCCCCCACACCATTACACCACCACCACCAGCCTGCACAGTGGTAACAAGGCATGATGGTTCCATGTTCTCATTCTGTTTACGCCAAATTCTGACTCTAACATCTGAATGTCTCAACAGAAATCGAGACTCATCAGACCAGGCAACATTTTTCCAGTCTTCAACTGTTCAATTTTGGTGAGCTCTTGCAAATTGTAGCCTCTTTTTCCTATTTGTAGTGGAGATGAGTGGTACCCGGTGGAGTCTTCTGCTGTTGTAGCCCATCCGCCTCAAGGTTGTGCGTGTTGTGGCTTCACAAATGCTTTGCTGCATACCTCGGTTGTAACGAGTGGTTATTTCAGTCACTGTTGCCCTTCTATCAGCTCGAACCAGTCTGGCCATTCTCCTCTGACCTCTGGCATCAACAAGGCATTTCCGCCCACAGAACTGCCGCTCACTGGATGTTTTTTCTTTTTCGGACCATTCTCTGTAAACCCTAGAGATGGTTGTGCGTGAAAATCCCAGTAGATTAGCAGTTTCTGAAATACTCAGACCAGCCCTTCTGGCACCAACAATCATGCCACGTTCAAAGTCACTCAAATCAACTTTCTTCCCCATACTGATGCTCGGTTTGAACTGCAGGAGATTGTCTTGACCATGTCTACATGCCTAAATGCACTGAGTTGCCGCCATGTGATTGGCTGCTTAGAAATTAAGTGTTAACGAGCAGTTGGACAGGTGTACCTAATAAAGTGGCCGGTGAGTGTATATGGAGCGTGATAAAAAGGTGTCCTTGAAATTGTGGCGTTAAAGGCGACGCGAGACGAGGAAAATTTTTAGTGCACCTAAATTTTGTGCTGGTGCACCTAAATAAAAAAGTTAGGCGCACCAGTGCAACCAAGGCAAAAAGTTAGTCTGGAGCCCTGCCGAGTGTCCGAACTCGCAGTGTACGCCCGCCTTTGGTGTCCTGAAAGCTGTTGCATGAGCCATATGACACAAATGGTGGAGTCTATTCCACCTGCACTTCATGAACTTCCCATGGAGCAGAGATGTCAGTGTTTCATGATCACTACATACTTGCAGATTTAAATAGCGTGCTCATTTATTTATGTTTCCATTCTGATCATGTGTTTATTAGCAGTTTATCATCTAACAATATAAATGCCTGTAGCATTCTTTCACCAAGCATCAGTTGTTGGATTTAGGAGTTACGTAATGAGGCTTATATTGTTTTAATATTGTTTGTACACATGCTTTAGGGATGAAATCACTACTCAACAACATTGCTTTTTCTGAACTATAGTCTTGGTAAGGGAGAAATTCTGTAATGTCAGGGTGGCAATTATGAGCTTCATGAGAAATATTTATGTAGTGATCTGCTCAGTAACACATAACAATACATAATACTTAATGCAAATTATTTTCGCCTCTACAGTCAGCTTGGTGCAGCCTACGTCAGTGCGACCACTGGAGCTGTAATAACAGCCCTTGGCCTGAAGTCTCTAACCAAGGTCTGTCCTTTCCTTAAACTGTCTCAATATTTAGTTTATTACAGAGTGACTTTTTAACATTTCTTTAAATTCTTTAACATTTTTGAAGATATTGGTTTACTTCTCAATATTGTTTCCATTTATATATATTTTTTATATATTCCATTTATGTTTTTTTAAAAAAAAAGTCGGTTACTGTATGCTTACAAGACTGCATATATTTGATAAAAATTACAGTGAAATATTATTAGAATTTAAAATGACTTTTCTATTTGAATGTATTTTTTTCTTGTGATGGCACATGAAAGTCTTTTTTTCTGAATTCTTTGATGAATAGAAAATTCAAAAGAGCAGTATTTATTTGAAATAGAAATCTTTTCTAACATTATACATTTATTTACTGTCACTTTATCAATTTAATGTGTCCTTGCTGAATAAAAGTATACATTTCTTCAAATTTATACTGTATATATTAATAAATCTTACTGACCCCAAACTTTTGATATATATATATATATATATATATATTTCCCCCTGTATTCAGACACATAAACAAACCTGTCATACAGCAAAATGTATTTATTTACTGCTTTCTAGGCTTAATTGTTGATCTTGTGTGTCAGTACCTTTTGAAGGACTTTTAAATGCTGGTTTATTATTTGTGGACAATTTTGGGCAGTAGTCACTCAATGTCTTATCTCTCTCCAGCACTTGCCTGCTATTATGGGGCGTTTTGTTCCATTTGCTGCAGTGGCAGCAGCAAACTGTATCAACATACCCTTCATGAGACAAAGGTGAGTGAAAAAAAGACTGCTTTCCAGAATTTGAAAATACTTAAAATTGAAAATAATTTCGCGATTTCTAAGAAACGCTGTTGTAAATGGATCGGACAGAGCACCACAACGTGTCCACTCATGATGGGGGAGGAGAGAGATTTAACAAGAGGGAGATTTGAAGAAAGACTGTAGAAAGAGAGATGGCTGAAAGACATTACAAAAGAGAAAGTCAGAGGAATATCACTGGAAAAAGAAGGAACTATAGTAATATTAGAACAGCTTTCCAGTGCTGGAGACACCAGAGCAGGAAGGCCTGAAAACAAACGCCAAGATTATGTTGTTTCTGCTCCATACGTGAGGAACATTAGTTTTGCTATGTTTCACAGAACCAAAATATGCTGTAATGTTAGCTAGCTATAGTAACCGGACAGTTTTGAGTGCTATTGTTTGTCGGGAGCTGGAGTGCTGCTGGCGACTAACAACCAACTCTTGCTTGTATATACTCCTGTGTACTGTGTGTAACATTTTTGTAGTTCCTTGTCGTCCGTCATCTTAGCTTTTTTCACAAAGCATTTTTTTTTTTTGCTTCGCTCCAGCTATGATACAGAAACATCCCTCTCTTGCATTGCGTTTGTGCATTTTAGGGGCAGAGCAAAGAAGGGAGGGGGGTGTTTGTTAATTTGTTTCTCAGAAAGTGCTTACTGCACCTTTAATTGGCTTTAAAAATGTTGAATTGACCATTGAATGAGTTCTCTTTTCTTAATACTTCTACAGAGAGCTGAAGTGTGGTATCCCTGTTACTGATGCTGAGGGTAAACGAATAGGAGAATCAACTAAAGCTGCTCAGCAAGCCATTGTGCAGGTGGTGGTGTCTCGTATTGGCATGGCAGTGCCAGCCATGGGTAAGCTTTTTTGTATGTTAATAATGGAGTTTCTCATATTTCTGGTGTTTTTTTTTGTTGTTTTTTTTTATTGATTGATTGATTGATTTTAATAACCTCTTATTCACAGCCAAAAGAAGTGGTAAAATATGAAATTAAGAGTGTTCCCCTTGTATTCCCCAACTTTTTTTCCATTGGTTTTCTCAAACAGCTATTCCTCCAGTTATTATGAATGCCTTAGAGAAGAAAGCTTTCATGAAGGTAAAGAATCACAGACTAATTTCAAGCATTTCTCTGAATCTGTAAGCAAAATGGATGTTTTTAAAGTGCATCGCAAAATTTCTGTCCATTTCTTAGCGGTTCCCGGTTCTCAATGCCCCTGTACAAGTTGGACTTGTAGGATTCTGGTGAGTTTTCTTTTTCTTTTCTTTTTTAGTCGGTGTTTATTTGCTATACACAGCAATCCTGGTTTAAACCATTGAATGAATGATTTATTTTAAATATCCATCCCCACAGCCTGGTGTTTGCCACTCCTTTGTGCTGTGCCCTGTTCCCACAGAAAAGGTGAGTGCTTTTAATATAATCTATTTTCCCCTAGTTTGTTCGATGTGCTGAATTGGGATGTCTTTCTGTCTCTGTGAAGCTCTATGAAGGTGAGCAGCCTGGAGCCGGAGCTTCAAGAGAGTTTACGACAAAGCAATCCTCACATCACCACTGTTTATTTCAACAAGGGTCTGTAGAGCAGTCTAGGTTGCAGCCCATTCTGATGTCTTCCATTGCACTGGAGGTTAGTGGGCACAACTTGAAAGGTAGAATTTTTTTTTTTTTTTGCTGTTCTGAGTTATATATTTTTGTCAATGTTACCCATGCTATTGCACAATCCTTAAATACTATATGTACAATGAGGGGCAGAACTTGCTGCTGGATTTAGTTAAGAAGCTTGAATGTTAACTGCTGCATTGATGTTTTAAACCCCATCACACACATTGACTTATTTACCTATACATTCATCACTTTGATTTATTCTAGATTACCATATGCGTATTGTAAGATTTTTTGTTTCATTAGTGCTTCTTTAGTTAGTGTTCTAAGTTTTCCAGGTTTGTGGCTCAAAGGTTTCTCTCACATGCACGTTCTTACTGAAGACCGTTCCAGAAATTGGGTTTTAAACTTTATTCTGCCAGGAGTATTTCCACCTTACATGCTCCATTATGTGCCCATTAAGTGCACTTATGCAGCAAATGTAGTGTGCTTCACTCTCTGTACTGCAAAAGAAGCCCTAAGATGTGCTAACACTCCCATCATGAGCGCATCAAAATGCTAATTATTAGGTGACTATCTCTGATGTACATCTTTACGTCCTGCAGGCCATACTTTATTATTTCTGTTTAAGCCTTACAGGCCTGTGTGGTTTTAAGTCATTGCAAAAGTCTCTGAGATATTTGGTTGTGTGGATTGTAGTTTGTGTGTTGTTATCGAAGAATTGTGAAGAGGTCAAAATAATATCTATTATTTGCATTTGTGTGATTGTAAAAATAATTCCCTATAATGGGACAGAATGTGTCTGGGCTTAAAGACAGAAGCACTACATCTCTCAGACAGCAAGAGCAATTTATACGAACAGAGTTCACTCATGCTCAATAGACGAAATATGCTCATTCAGAGTATGAAGAAAGAGTTGCTTCATATGCCCTGCTTTGATCATCTATAATCTGAAACATTAACAGTTATGGGAACAACAATCAGATTTATTTATTGTTGTCATGGGGGAATCTATGAGATGATGTATCAATAATATACATATATATATGATGTCAGTCATAGTGTCTGTAGTGTATGATATAACCTAACCTATTGTAAGTTAACGGCCTCCTGTAATCTGAGCGAATAAGATCAAACTTGTTTTCCCTGACATATTGTCGTAATGTTACAGTGTGTAGTTTTTGTTGCTTGGTTCCTATTGTTTTTGTGGATGAAGTTACCAAACCTTTACGGTGTTTCTTTGCCATCAGACTCTCAGAACTCTGTGCTTTTTTGGGATGAAAAAGGCTCGTTGATGTGATGTTATTCTCATCATGTCCTCTGAGAGGCAACAGAGATCTGTTTGTTTTTGACTTGAGCACTCCATGTAGGCAAATATTGTTTAGCCTAATATCTTAGCACATTATATGTTACATAAGTATGCGGTTGGAAAAAAAAGTAGTGCTGTGGAAAACAGTCAGGAATTAATGCACAATTTCCCTGTTACTATGATTGATAGAGAGAGCTGGCGGATATGTTATGCAAATAAGACTGTGATTGTGATTTCTACAAAAATGTCTAAATTTCCTTGGAATGTCCTGTTACACCAAACCTCACAGGAAAGTTTAACCCCATGCTGTCAAGATGTATTCTTCCTATAATAATGCAATGTACCAGCACAAGTTCAGTCGGTCGTGTAATGCACCAACGTCACATAATATAATGATTTACAGTGATGCTCAACATAATAGACACAGTTCCAAACTTAAACAAGGGTGTTACTGTCTTTCTCAACAGACATTAAGCTGTCATATCCTCTTTAATCACAAAACTGTTTGTTACTTAGTAAGTTCTTTCAGATGTTTTATGATTGTAAATTGCACTAGACCACTGACAATGTTTATTGGAGATCTCATGAAAAAGTGTTTTATTGTGTACAAATGTAATAATTTAGTGAACCTAATGAATAGAAAACCATCATGTTATAATTGTACACACACATGATTGTTAATGAACATACAATGGTCATTGTGTTATTTTCTATTGACAGTTGTAACATTATGGTTGTCCATCAATATGTGGATCATAATTAAATAAAAAATAAAGATTGTCACACCAAATACATTTGGCATGTTTCAAAAATGAGACCTTACCAAAGAAAACAATTCTGTTACTACACATATTCTTGATGCTTAGAGCACATATTTATTGATAGGTCTCCCATAGCATGGGAAGTGCAGACAAATGCAAGCACAATAAATGGTGTGGTGTCATGCATATAAATGTCACTCCAGGAAGACCCACTTTAGCACAATTATTATAGTTATTATTGGTGCTCGTTGTGTTTTATTTTTCCAGCATTTTATATTGTTTTGTTAATCCTTGTGTGTATTTTATCTGGAACAATGTAATAAAGATATTAAACTAACTGTCTGAGACTATATTTTGTCAGCGCTTGCTATAGAGGTGCCTTGGCTCGTACTTAGAATAATCGAAATATTTGGCTTATAACAGTTGATCAGTTAATCAGACGTTTTTCTAAACGGATGGCTTACCCAGATGAAACCCATGTTTAAACAATAAGCTAAATTCCTTATGAGAGCAGTTTCAAAGTCCCTGCCTTTAAAATGCAAGCCTAAAAGTAGGTGGGCTGAGAAAAGAACTGTTACATGTGCATATATACTAATCAGGGATTAGAGCTGAATGTCTCAGTAGATGCTTAGGAGTAGTACACAAGATGTGTTGTGGAGAAATACAATGTAAAGGACTGCAATACAAGCAGTTTCTCATGAGGATAAATGGTTAGTACTGCCATCGAAAGATTTGGGTAAGTACAGTTGTTTTAAAATGTTTTTGAAAGAAGTCTTTTGTGCTCACCAAGGCATTTATTTTGATCGAAAATACAGAAAAAAATTATAATAATGTGAAATATTACCATTTAAAACAACTGTTTTCTATTTTAATATAGTCTAAAATGTCATTTATTCCTGTGACGGCAAAGCTGAATTTTTAGCATCAGTATTCAGTGTCACATGATCATGATTCTAATATGCTGATTTGCTGCTCAAGAAACACTTCCTATCATTGATGCTGAAAACAATTGTAATACCTAATATTTTAGTTATACTTTTTAATGAATAGAATATTTTTTGTAACAATGTATTCACTGTGACTTGATCAATTTAATGCATCCTTGCTTAATAAATGTATGTATTCTCTTTTTTTTTTTAAACTTACTGATCCTAAACTTTTGAACAATAAGTATAAATAGAGACACACACATATCATTTTTTTTCAAGAAAATACTCAAAAGCATGTAAAATACAGACAAACTGAATATTTGGAGGTGACATGTTTATTGTTCATTGTGTCCAGTCCACCCGCAGCTGAACCTCTGGCTGATCACTGACCAAAAACCAGAGGGTATCTAGGCATGTGTTGGCATCAAATCTGCTCTTTCAACATGGAGTTTGGAGTCAGACTATCATTAAAACACATAACACCAAAAACCACGTGGCATGTGGCAGCAGGCAACCAAAAGGAACGCAGTAAGGTGAAAAACAACAATACAATGGTTCATGACAAACTATTTCTAAAGTGCAAAAAAAAAAAATTACTTAACACAACATTACTCTCAATTGTAAGTTCTAAAGCACCAGAATTAAAATGAGGCCACATGCAACTCTGTGACGTTATTTCACTTAGCTCTTAAAGTGTACCAGTCAGTACTAACAATTTTACATAACCTGAGCTTTTCCCCATTCACAGCATTAGTAGCATTACGGTAAGTGAGATGAGGTGGATTGTGACAAGGGAGAACTCTATTTTGATCAAACATTTACTCTTCTACCACAATTTTTTTAGCGGCTTCCAAAACAGACTCTAAGCTGACTTTATCTCCAAACTCCTTTTCTCTGTGCTCTAGGAGAACCCCCTGAAAGTGGAAAAAACAGGCTGTATGAGGACAGTCAAGTTGCTAAATCTCTCAATTGGTTTGTAATGATTTAATGAAATATCTAATATAATATATATTACCTGTTCGCCAGATCCGATGACAAACACCCCTCCCAGGATGAAACCTTCTCCATTCATGTTGCCCTGGTAACCCGACTTCCAGGCTCTTATAAAATTTTGCCAGACTCCCAAGCGAATGAAACCAAGCCCACCCATCTTCCTCTGTTGTGGCCCATAAAATGCTTGCTGTGCACAAATAAGACACCCAGGCAAAACAATGTATGAATGAATAAAGAATTACTGGTAGTTTTGTGCATTATTCAGTAAAGCTTTTCATGCAAGCACATTTGAGCTTCCATTTACCATGTTTGATGTGCTCAATATATGTGCGTTGATCAATGTTTATATATGATTAAAAGTGTCAATTAAATCTGTTCATCATATAAAGTGATTGTGTCTCTTCAGAAGACTTGGATTTAACTGCTTGATTCATATGGATCCTTTTACAAACTTTTTGAAGCAACAAAATTTTGGTTGTGTGGACATTCAGTAGAGGCACAGAAATCTCTCAGGTTTCATCAAAAATGTTAATATATGTACCGAAGATGAACAAAAGTCTTAAGAACAACACAAGGGTAAATGATGGGAGAATTTTCATTTTTGGGTAAACTATCCCTTTAATGTTTACTAACCTTATCATCCAAGAAAATTTCCCCTGCGAACTGAGGCCTGAAGCCCTGAATCTCCGTAGCTATATTCTCCTTCACAACGGCATACAGAGGGACCCCGAGCTTATCCAGCTGGGGCTTCAGAGAGGACAGCTCAGAGGCCTCCTGCAGATACACAATCACATATTCATGTATTAAATGTATAGACTCAGTGTTTCCCATTCATTTCCCACCATAGTTTAATAATGAACTGAAAACATTTGTAAACTTTATTACGAGAAACATGATCACTTTACCTCTCTGCACAAAAATCATCCAGGTCGCCGGACAGCCATGATCACTGCACCAGATCTCTCCCAGAGAATTTTCGCTTTTAACGTCCTCTCATCTGAACGGATAAAGATGGAAAAACATTACAATAAATATAGTGACTGCTTTTCTTATTTATCACACCAATTGGCCAAAATATAATTTCACTTCCACTGGATTCAGTTCAATTGGCCAAAATATAATTTCACTTCCACTGGATTCAGTTCATTTCTTACCACTGTCGATGGTTTTGAGGTCAGCATTCCCAAGATACTCTACAGTAGCAGGTGCCGGTTTAGTCAGCAGGAAGTCAGTGTTTGCAAGTATTAAGCCGGCGATGGCGGCCCCCACAGCTCCAAGACCTAGTGACCACATGCCCATGGCAAGAGTCTCACCCTCCAGGATGGATGATGACACTGTAGTGAAAATATATACAGTATGGTAGGTTACAAACATTAGCTGAATCCCAATTGACCTATGGCTAAGCCACGCCCCCAAACGCGATGAGCCAATCACAGTGCGCATAGCTAACCCAATACACTCCGACATTCTCTGCTTCCACGTCCATTGAAATGCATTGCAGTTAGTCAGTTTTCATTCGTTTTTATATGTTTTTTCTTGTCATTTTAAGTTTAAAATGGTCAAACGGTGTGCATGGGGTACATGCAACTCCGACACTAGGTATCCCGAGAGGCAGGGCGACGGTGTGTATTTTTTACCCTTTCCCAAGCCACATCTCAACTGAGATAAGTGTGTGCTCTGGATAAAGTTATGCGGTAGACCACAACACCAACTAAACGTGGATAAATTAAACAAGAATTAAACAAGGATGTCTACATCTGTTCTAAATCAACAACGTATTTGAACGTTCTCTTTAACATCTCTAACGTAACGTTAGGCTAACGTTAGCCTAACATTAGAAAACGTTGACGTTAGCTTCTAGCTGCGTTGTACATCATGTCACGTATCTTTAAATATCCGAGATAACAAATGTTAGCAATGTTGTGCTGAATGATTCATGTAAATACTGCAGTGCATGAACAATGCTGATTAATAATTTTATTGTTGAGAAGGTTGATGATAAGCTTCAGCTCCAGGCAAAAATTTACAGGTCACAGTGTAAACGTGATAAACCGCATCTCGTTGCCATCACCATCTCAGACCACAAGATCATCTTGTGGTCTGAGATGGTGATGGCAACGAGATGCGGTTTATCACGTTTACACTGTGACCTGTAAATTTTTGCCTGGAGCTGAAGCTTATCATCAACCTTCTCAACAATAAAATTATTAATATAACCCTCCAATGAATAGTTAAGGCCCTTTTGGTGACTTCGAGATGATATATAATCTCTCTGTCTCCAAAAATCATCAATTGCCTCCTGTAAAATGTCTCCTACTGTGACAGCTGCCATAGCGCCTGTCACCGAATGTTGACTGTTTGTCCGAGTGAGTGGAGGGGGCGTGGCTTAGCCATAGGTCAATTCAGAGGCTGCATCCTTCGAAGGATGTGCATTTCAAAGGCCACGTCGGACAGAGCGTTGTTAAATGGGACAGTCTAGCCTACAGAGGATTGTTCTTGTCGCCGAGCAACTGGGACAGCTGCCGTTAATGAGTGGCATTAACATTTGTACCGGGCTTCACAAACTGTCTAAATATGTTCACCATGGTCCATTCCTGTATATAATAAAGAGTATAAACTATATATGATCGCATCTTAGTAAGATGTCAACATTTGAACCGATTAAAAGTTTTTTTTTTTACTTTTACATTTGTATTATTAGAGTAAGCTGAAACCCAACAGTTACATTTAAAAGTGTAATTCGGCAATATCTCTCAAAAAATCCTGTTGTCATTGGCACACAATGAATTCTGGGGTAGGCAAGGCCGTGACGGATCCATCTTTTGTATCCTTCATTGCACGGGAAATGGAGGATGCACTTGAAGGAGTCTTCAAATCGGGAAAGCCTTCGTCGCACCTGTGACACAATTAGCCTTTAAATGCGGCCTTCGAAGGATGCAGCCTCTGAATTGGGACGCAGTTATTGTTTCAATAACAAAAAGTAATTTGTTGAAGCTATATTATTATATATGAGCGTGAGCACCCCAATTGAAAAGCTTTCCTTGCACGCATTGAGTTCTCACATTTTTGTACTAAAGGCAAGCATGTAATTGCTATAATACACCAATATACCAAGACATGCTGGGGCAGGAGCAGTACCTTTTGTCTTACTAAAGGAAGACTGGCTGTTCTGGCTTTCCCTCGAGAAGTGCCGGTTTGTTGAAATAGCACGAATGCATATAGTGTTGATGACAGAAGTGGGAAACACTAATGTCTTGAATGGTGGTCGGCATGTAGAGATGGTCAGTGGGAGGTTATGCGTTACGACTATCTTATTAATGGCTAGATGCGGGGGAGATTGGGACACAGAAACTCTGTACTTGACATTGCAATTTACACTAAGAGAAATTCTTCCTCTTGGCGACAAATAGGTCAAACACATGGGCCGCAGTCGCATGAGGGCCATTGCAACATCCAGGGTGAGTTTAGCCAACCTTTCCCAATTGGGTAAAAGTGAAGTTCAGTGGAAAGCTCTGGAGAGGAAAGGAAAACAATGCTTTACCTCTCAATGTAGGCTTTTTTTAATATTTAAAATAAGCCTCAAAACAAAAATGAGGAACTGTGGGTGTGCACACTTGAGAAATGGAAGTACACTTTGCTATACTTTTCAAAAGAGTTCATAATACAGGAAAAAAAGAATATAGGCTACTTTAAAACAATATACTATAAGTGTGAAGTGTGAACTGAATGTAATGTTTTTTTTGACACTGCATGTTAATTGCAATTAAAGGAAAATGTATAGGCTATTAAATTCAATTAGTCAATAGCACATTAAAATAAGTGTAGGCCTACTTCTTTGAAACACAATAAAAGATTATTAAAACAATTATTTAAAATGTACTTTAAATTTAAAAGTTTAATAATTTGACATTATTACAAAGCACAAGTATTAAGTGTGTTAAGAAACAGTCATGAAATTCTATTCCAATTGCACCAACAGTTTACTTTTTATTTAATTAAAATATTATCTGTAGGCCTACAGTTTTTTTTTCTTCTGCTGAACACAAAAGAAGATATTTTGAAGAATACTGGGTAACTAAACAGTTGATGGGCCCCGTTGACTTCCATAATTTGAAAAAAAAAATTGTTTGGTTACCCATATTCTTCACAATATCTTCTTTTGTGTTCAGCAGAAGAGATAAATTCGGTTTGGAACAACTTGAGGGTGAGTAGGTGATGACATAATTTTTACTATTGGGTGAACTTTCCCTTTAAGGATTTGAAGGAACGTCACACATTCTCCCCAGTATTATGAAGCTGATTTCTGTCATGTAACTTACAGAAAAGGTCATTTAAACTTACTCAACAAAAAGCGACCAAACTCAGCGCTACTGAGTTATAAAAACATCTATCCTGTCTACATTTGGCGTGGAAGTGTAGAGAATTAGAAATAACTACTATTTCATTTAATACGTTATAACTTATTCATTGTTAGCGTATTATCTAACGTTAACGTCAATCGGTTTCAAAATCGAATAAGATGTGTAACGTTAACTCTTACATATGTTTAAGGATATTAACGTAAGGATAACTATTACAGAAATGCTGTAAGCAATGCCGAGCCCGCATAGAGATTATTTTATATTTTGAACTGCTTGCACGGGAGGCTAAAGTCCATCAAGCTAACGCTGGTTAGCTTGTTTGCCTAGACAGGGAGTTGTTACAATGCAAGATACAAGTGCTGACCATTTAAGAATATTAACTATCATAAACATTAATATCTGCATTAAAGCTCTGCTTTCAAGAGTTGATAACACAACAAAAAGGAATAATACTCACAGCTTGCAGTTCTGCGGTTTTCTGTCAGTTGGCTGTCAAACTACGCGGCCGTTCAGTTGGAGGACTAGCCTAACCTAATCTCTTAAAGAGACAGGCAGCAATAAATCTGTCTGTACTGCGTCTGCGCAGAAGTTTTACCCATCCTTTATGTAGTTTAATCAGTTTAATACAATGGTAAAAAGGCATAGATAGGCTATAAAAATTATTAAACATAGGTTTTATTTTGAGTGATTTTCACATACCTCATTGTCATCATATGAGACATTGACACGGTGCCTTGTTAGCATCAGGTTTTCTCAAAAAGTTTAATCACAAGCGCTCAAACACAAATTCAGCCACAGAGACATACAATGGCTGCAGAAAGGCTCTATACGTTTTAGTATTCTAAAATGGACAACAAAATGTATAGTCTGTCTCTATTAAAACTAAGGCTTATTAGCACTAGGTTATATACGTCCTGGTTATGAATTTGCAGAGCAATATAAAAATTTGTTGTATTTCCTTCCTGGCAGGATCATCTACCAGACACCAGGCCAAAGACACACAAGAAGCTGCTTGTGTGTGTCATTGTATATAAGAGGGAAGAATAAAAGAAATTAACTCGCATCCTCAAATCAAACCATAAAATATTTCAACATGAAATCGTTCTATGGTCCATTCAATTTTTGTCTTACAATTTTTGTCCATTCAATTGTAGCTTTACAATTCTCTTACTTGGCTGTTACGAATAGTCGTGGTCAGTGGATACCTCCTCCTCTGCAGCTGGTCACGCCAGAGAGCACCACTGGCTGTCTCCAAACCATTCCAAGACATGTGAATGTGGAGGATGGCACAGGCTGGTATGACCTGAAAAAAAGAAAGAAAAAAAAGTATATTTTCTGAACAAAAGTAAATGTCTTTTGAATTGTTTTGTACAACACAAAGGTGTGGTGCACTTCCAGTCCTTGCAGGAAGATGGCCCTGAACCTGGTTTCCATCATCCCAAAAGCACCGCAATAACAAGTCGATAAGCTCAACAGCTAGATAATACCCATAATGCACTGTGAGGGTCATGCCTGCAGCTGAATCATCCATCCATCCATGTTCCCAATGGTCCAATGTGGCTACAGCGTAATATTATACAGGTATAAATGATTTTTTAATTGATTATTAAATTGTTTAATTAAGATTTATACAAGCTAGTTTCCATGACAGTTCAAGATAAATTTTTTCATTACTAGAGCTACCAGTTTGCTAAGTTTCAAATGATTATTAAACAGCAAGTACAAACTCAATGTAGGAATTCACTTACTCGGTTTCATTCACTCCTTCAAGTGGACTATATTAGTGGAGTATAGGGAATAGTGAATGAGTGTATAGGGGGCGATTTCGAACACAGCCTTTGTTTGTTCTGAGTGTTTTGAGTTGTGGCAAATGAATACAAGACTGGTCCGAATAGATCCTTTTCTCACTTTTATTGCAACCGATAACAGTAAGGTAATCCTTTTGACAAATAAAGTGAACGTCACACAGACACAGACCTTTGGCGATTTATTTTATTTTATTTTTTTTTATTTTTTTTTTTTCATGACATGAGTTCCTGAGCTCTTTTCCAATACATAGTCAGTCCTGAGTGCGTTTGCTTACAAGTGAACTTGATTATGTAAGACGATACAGTTAGGTTAGCGGATCTGGACCAGCTCTGTTTTGGTGGTAATGGTTATTTTTAGGGGAGAGGGGCAGAGGCCAGTTGCTTCTGGCTGCTGTAGGCTGGAATGTGCTGAGATGAAAGTTGTCCCAACATCCCACCCTCTCCTGCAGCTGCTGCATTCCAGCCGACTACCGAGGCAATGTGGGAAACCTCCTTCATTTGATGGTGGTAACCGTAGCTGCAGTAAGCCTATTGGATTTTTACAGTAATGATGATGAAAAATATGACAATCAAGTAGTAACACAGTCTCTGTGGTTTATTGTATTTTTAAATAAAATAACTGGTGTACTTCAGATTTAGTTTGAAGGTTCTAAACTGGCAATGAAATCACAGTGAGTTTATTGATCTATTGTGCTCATAATGAAAGGTCATAACTAGAAGGTACAGGCTCATATCCATCTGGCGCTTAGGTTACATACCCAGCAGCACCAGCTGTAAAGTTCACCTAGGTCCACCTCACTGGAGCACTCTCAAGAGTTTCTGTCTTACCCATTAGTGTGAGCGTGTCTGTTACGCCCAATCAGAAGTAAGCATCCGTACCCCACCTACTTAACGTTCTAGTCTCAGTTAGCCATTGGCTGACGCACTTCACTCCTCCATGCTTATCAAAAGAGTTTACCTTAAAAAAAGGGGTGGCAGTGCAGGTAGTTGTGTTTATCACTGGACACCAACCAGCAGCAGCCACGTACATTCATAGAGAACTGCTACAAAATATAAACAGATGCTTGTCACCTTGACTAACATCAACCTTTCAACCTTTGTATTTCTGCCACAATTACATCACAATCTTGATATAAAAACTGACCTGCCTTACGTAAAAAAGTAAAACAAATCAACATAAAAGTGTTTCATATATTTTATTTATAAGCACTAAAGATTAACATAATTTGGTTACACTTTATACCAGGTGTCTTTAACTACAATGTACTTACATGAAGAAAATGTATTGTTAGGTACAACATTTCGCATTAACATACTATGTTCTTATTGTAGTAATGACACTGAACCCCCTAAACCTTAACTTAACCCATGTAGTTACCTTACACCACTCAGTACTTTTGTGGGTAAGTACACTATAAGTACATTGAAAGTGCACATACTGTATAATAAAGTGCAACCCAAAAAACTTTTGCTGCTATTGAGGTGGGATACATACGGGTAAGGTTAGGAACAGGTTTGGTGGTGTGGTTAGGTTTAAGAATGGGTTAAGGTGTAAGGGAAGGGTCAACAGTGTAATTATTTCAGAAATTATTAAAGCTGTAATTAAGTAAATACAAGTACATCGTAAAAACATGTACAGTATGTACACATAAGTGCATTGTATTAAATGATTCATATTAATGTTGGTACAAAGACACTTCATATAAAGTGGGACCTAATATTTTATGTAACCAACATAATATGTTTTAGGATTAAAAAAGTATTAATTTCCTTTTCTGCTAAAGCAGAAGCAACAATAACACCTTCACTTCCTTAGGAAACGAAAAAGATGCACTTCACCCACACCAACTGGAATCATATTCTGGATAAAGGGATAAAACTAAACGCACCGCAATGCCCACAAAAGGTTTCTCCTCCAAACTCTTCCTAGAATCAGAAAAACATTTGTAAGCAAAGACACAGAGAATTCACTTTGAACAAGCCAGAAACCGACTACCCTGTAAAGGTGCACCAGTCAACAATGCTTTACATAACAGAGGCCTGTATGAGTGAGTGATACAAAAGAAGCCAAATCTGAAGTTTGCCAAAAAGCCCATTAGCATTGCTGGATAAGCCATTGTGGTCGGATAACCACAAAATAGAGCTTTGTAGTAAAAAATCTTCTTAGTCAAAATCCAACAATGCCCAAATGTCTTAATTACAATATGGCATCACATTTAGAAGGACTATGTGTCTTGTTGAATAGATGGAAATACCAGAATTAAACCATGTTCATTGAAATAAGAAAAATGTAAACCTTTACTTTCAG